GTGTCCCGAGTAATAGATGGTGAAGTCCTCAGACTGGAAATAACCATCCACTGTAATTCACTAATGCCAAGGAGGCTGATTTTTAATCTGACCATTTCCCATTTGACAATGTCCAATTTGCCTTGGCTCATTCCTCTGATGTTCCAAGTTGCCATTTGAAGTATCTTTGTGCAGAGCAGACTCTTGCTTTTGCCATTGGCAAAATATATCATATTGAAATTGTGTGAGAACTGCTGCATAGGATTTTCTTGGTGAGTTTTTCCAAAGTAGGCCGCCAGGTCTTTCCTTAACCCTCCCCATTTCTCCTGGCTTGGGACCAGCGCACACACATGTGATGCCAAGTGTGCATGGCTGGGGTAGAGGGTGATTATCAGTGGAGAATCATCAGGATGGCAGGCAGTGACAAGCAGAGTTCCCCAGGGCTCAGTTCTGGGGATAACCGGTCTGCTGATTAAATTCGTGGATGATACCACAGTGGCCACAACCGAGGAGCAGATGATCCAGATCCAGAAGGATCTGGACAGGCTGTGGAAATGGGTGGGGAACAGCAGAATGGTGTTCAGTGTGGATAAGTGCAAAGTCTTGCACTTGGGACACAGGAATAGGTGTCACAGGTTCAGGATGGGGGACAAGTGGCTGGACAGCAGCACTTGTGAAAGGGATCTTGGGGTATTTGTGAACAGCAGACTGAACAGCAGTGTGACATGGTGATTAAGAAGGCAAACACCACCCTTGGATGTATAGCCAGAAGCAAGGCTTCTAGCTCTAGGGAGGTGTTGATACACAACGCTGGTGTGCCTACAACTGGAGTACTGCAGTCAGTTCTGGGCTCCACATTATAGGAGAAACAGAGGTAGGTTAGAATCAGTCCATCACAGGGTCACAAGAATGGTAGCTGGGTTGGGAGGGATGACATATGAGGCAAGACTGAGGGAACTGGATTTTCTCAGCCTGGAGAAGAGGAGACTCTGAGGGGGTCTTTTAGCAACTTATAGGTATGTGAGGGGATGTCATGTGGAGGAGGGCCATGACCTGTTCCTCCCTGCAGTGGAGGGCAGGATGCATTCCAATGGGGCAAAGCTCAAGGAACCAGGTGTCAGGTTGGATGTCAGGAAAGACTTCCTGATGGTTAGGACCCCTAGAATATGGAATGGGCTTCCAAGGGAGGTGGTTGAGGCTACATCAATGGGGGTGTTCAAGGAAAGACTGGACAACCACATGTTGGGGATTACATGAGCAGAGTCGGCTGGAACCAGGGGTCAGACTAGATGGCCAGGGACTCCCCTTCTGACTTGTTTTGTTTCTATGTTTCTATGCTTGGGTTATCCCAGGGGTTGCCCTGTTATCTGAACCCAGACAATGCAACAACCCCTGCTCTGGGGAGGCTTCTAAACCCTACAACAAGCCATGCGGGTTGCTTATAAGCCCATCTTGATGAAGTAACTCCTAATCCCTGTAGGTTTGCACAACATGGTGTTTCATGTGAGGTGACTCTAATCATAGTCTGCTTTTGCAGCTGCTTCTTCTCATATTTATGTGGACTGTCAAAGATACACTGTAAGAGGGGAAGACAATGTCAGAAATGACAAGAAATGAAAAGAGGCAACCTTAAAACAGCTTAACCTAAAACTCTTACCTTACTAAACAAAGCCGCTCAGAGAGGGTTAATCAGGTCTGTGGCACACAGCTAGCCCACTTTCTGAATTTTTAAATATTTAATAGCAGTGAACATGTGATATGTGCCTGATAAATGTCTATTGACTGTTTCAGCTGGCAAATCACAGAAACTTAAAATAGTAGAGCTGGAAGGGGCCATTGGGCTCAAACCCCTGTTCAGTACAGCACTTCCAAGTTAAACCCTTCTCGGATGTTTTGCCCAGTTACATCTTGAATGCCTCTAGTGTGGAAGAGCCCAAAACCTCTCTAGGTCATTGGTTCCCTTATGTCCTGCTTCCCCATGTTCAGCTGGAGCCTGGCTTCCTGTAACTTGAGCCTGTTAGTCCATGTTCTGCACTCTGGGATGATCAAGAAGAGATCCTGTCCTTCCTCTTTGTACGTGTAGAGAGTTTCAAGCCTTTCAAGTACTTGTTGAGTTTTATTATATCTCTCTCAATCTTCCCTTCTTGAGGCTAAGCATGCCAGTTGTTTCCATCTCTCCTCACAGGACTGCACTTTCAGTCCCTGGATCATCTTTGCTGCCCTCCTCTGAACCCTTTCCAGCCTGTCTGCATCTTTCTTAAACTGTGGTGCCCAGTACTGGACACAGTACTCCAGATGAGGCCTAATCGTAGAAGACTCAGGAAGACTGCATGTAGGCAAATTTGTGCATAGCTGTATGGGACAAAGTGCTTATCTGCCAATGGTAAAAGCATGGTAAATGTTGAAAAAGTGGTGAAGGAGGTGCAGAAAAATGGCTGCCTTACCTTTCCCTGGAGACAATGATCTGAGTCATAATTCTAAGTGATTAAGTTTTATTATGCAGAAAGGTACAAGCCAAATCGTTCTTGCTTGAGGCTATGCAGCAAGTCATGTTACAAACAGTGGCAACATAAAGGTCAAGCTGTTTTGGCAGGGAGAAAGCAGCAAGTTAGAGAGCTGATAGGAAACTCTAGGTAAATTGTCACAGCCCTCCTGGTCAAGCTAGGCATGCTAACCAAGCCCTGCCTTCAGGGTAGATCCTTCACTTGGGAAATCTCTTGGACAGTGAATCATTTGGACTGGTGAGCTACCCTCTTCCTCTCACAGTTAGGCTGAGGGTTCCTCATCACAAGGCCCTTATTTATTATTTATTTATTTAAAGTTTTTGTACGCCGTCCCCTTGCTATATAGCCTCGGGATGGCTCACACAATAAATAAATATCATACAAATACAAATACAGTTAAAACCCGGAAACACCCCGGCTGCACAATTCTCCTCCTCTTTGCTTGGGATCACTGCTGCTGTGCCTTTAGAGTGGCTTACTGGGCTACTGAAGATACTCCCACCCAACCCCAGTTTGGCACTTCAGCTGTCTGCTCCGTTCAGCATCAAACCTTGAGGTGCCTCTGCAGTGGTGCTGGGTGCAACTCTTGCAAGTGGGGGCAGTATCACTCATTTATCAGTGTGTGCCTCCTGATTTTTCTCAAGGAACTGACAGTTCTTTGTACTGTACACATTTTCAGTGTTTACCCATGTCTCTAGATACCACAGAAATCCCTACCTCTTTTCATTGCAGTGAATACCTGACAGTCAACCCCACCCTCCAGCTCTATATGCAAATAAAATGACTGGAAAGTAAGTAAACAAGAAATTTGCACCAGTTGAAAGGCTGGGAAGTAAACAGAAACAAAATGTGCACATCTTCCGTAATTGCTCCAAAAGCAAAAGACTTGATACCTTTGGAGCACCTATTTCTGGAGCAACTGCAGACTCGAGGAAGTGTGAAGGTGCAGAGCACTGTGAACTGTCATTTGATACTTACAACTCAGAGGGTTATATTGCCAAGGGAGTGATAATGTGTGTGTGTGTGTGTGCATGCGTGTGCACGTGCGCACCCTACCCCTGTTTTGAAAGCATCTTCACTGTGCTTTCTCACTGACACCTAAGTTCCTGGTTCCTGGTAAATGTGCCCAATTTAGTCGACATGTGTGACACCTTGTCTTCCCTTTGACGGTGGAAACAGAGAAGGAAATCTGACCAGGCAAGACTACACATACCAGAGAGCGCACTTGTACTTTTCTGAGAGACTGACAAAATAAAGCCAATGCGATGACCCAAGGTTGCCCATTTTGGTTTCAACAATCCTGCTACCTAGGTGGAATCATGAAGAGTGACTAATATGAGGGACCGTGTCACAGTTCCAGTGCCTCTGCTGCTCTGCAGCCATCCACCTTGGTGGAGCCAAACCAGTGGGTGGCTTGGAAGGAAGTTGCTGCCACCTCCCAAGTGAAATGCCACATTGGGCCAGAGCTCAACAGTGGGATGCTTTATGTACAGTTGAAGTTCACCTGTAGGTGGAGGTTGTTTCTGTTCGGTTTGCAATTCTAGTTCAGCCAGCACTGTAGAAGGGGTGTGTGCTTACTTGTGCAATGAAGGAATCTACTGAAGATTAACTAGGATTTGCTAACCAGAATTTCCTCTAGTAGTAAGCCTGATGGCCCCATGCCATAATTTTGCTTCATAATTTTAGGAGAATCCCAGGCATGCAAAACAAGTATTTTATTGAAAAAGAGACAGACACCCGCAACTAGGATTGTGCATTTGCAAGACCCTCCCATCCCAAAAGAACATTTTTAAATCATTGGATGTCTTTGCCATGGTGTAGGTAAAGGAGGGAAAATTGTTCCTAAAGAACTAATTGTTCCTTTTCTTCTACCCTACCCCCAACAAAGAAAAAACAAGTCAGGTGTCTTCCAAACTAGCCCTTTTTCCTGCAGTTACCATCCCTTTTTAGTTTTTTATGAACAGTCTAGACAATTATGCCAACTCATGGCAGGTCAGGGATTTGAGTGAGGCCCTCCTGTGTTTTTTTCAGCTTTGGTTCATGTTGCTTTAAGGAACAGTAGTATTTTTACTTGATGAAAGAAAACAAAATTTCAGGTGAAGTCTTTTTGAGGTTTTTCGAGACTTTTGTGCCTCTACTTAGTAGTTTCCCATTTATTGTTCCTGCCCATTTCATTGCATACTTTGGATTTCGGTTGAAGAAATTGTGTCATCCTCTTACTTAGCCATTGAATAGCTTCTCTTAATTACTCTGGGACAGAATTTTCTTGGGTAGGAAGACTTTAATTACTCTCATTTTCTCTTTTCCTTTTCTAAAGCAAATCAATCCCAGTAAAATTAAAAAATGAAGGAAAAAAGCACTAATGAATAAGCTTTCCCCTCCCCCACTCCCCTGGAAAAAAGAAATTCACTATGATAAATGTGAGGGGCTTTTCAAGAGACAAGAGCCTATTAATCGTTTATTTGTTGGGTTCAATTGACAGAAAGAAATAAGATAACCATGCAACAGGACATTTTAATTGGCGTAGGAGAGGATCTTTGTTGAATGAAGCTTACTTGTGAGTTCTTACTAAGAGAACTCTTGGCAATATGGAAAGGGATGTTTAGATCACACTGGGTTATAGTAGGTGCTGTGTAGATTCTCCATTTTAACTCCACTTCCAGACAATGAAGGAAAAGTAGTGCCACTAACTAAGGTTGAAGGCTGGTGGTAGAGCCATTCCTAAACCTTTTTCCTAGCATCAGCAGCATTATGGTGCTATAGGAATTGTCCTAGGTGTGCAGGGAGCAGAGGGAGAAAAAGCTTTACTCTGCTGTGCCACAGGTTAGAGGGCATCTCCTTGCACAGCCTGTTCTGAAGTCTTCCTCCACCCCACAGAGCACTCAGGTTTCTGCTTGGTGATACAGCATGGTGAAGGGGGTGCTATGCTTCTCTAGTTGAGGATACCTTGTTTTTTAGCAGGATAAATACACATGCACATGCTCTTTCTAACTGAAATGTTATATGTAGCTTTTACATTTGAAATCTTTAACCTTACACAAACTGTTGCCCCTATTTCCCATGGAGGTCCAGCTGCATAATCCTTGACTATAATCCAGCTTGATTGATTGATTAATTGATTGATTTCTAGCCTACCCCATTAGCCACATGGTTCCCTGGACTAGCTATTCCAGCTTCCTATACATTATACACCTGATTGTATTTCTCCATTCTTTTCCATTCCATTGCCCCATGTATCTCATATTTTCACCCACAAATGCTGAAATCAAAGCTTATAACTACACGATTTTCATGATTTACTTGGCTCTTGGTTCATTGCGGATGCCCCATAGTGTTTAATGAGGGCACTGATGGCATTTTGCAGGAGGGTGAAGGCTTCTCTCTCTGGTATCTGTGGGCTGTAGGTCAGGTGCAGTCCTGGACACCCCTGTCCATGAAGCACCTCTCCTTGAAACCTTTCCATGTTTTTATCTCTTGAAACAGTCTGTCTCCTGGGCAAAGGGTAGAAGTCATCTGACGGTGCCCATGAATGGTATAGTTGGCTTGCAGCCTGGAGCCTCTCACCGCACACTGCAAGAAGGAGTTCTTCATAAGTTCCAGGTCAAAGGGCTCTGGAAGGACCTCCATGTAGTTCCCAATGAAACTGACACCGTAGCCCTTGCTGTTGTAGCCCCGAGTGTGAGCTCCTACCCAGTGCCAGCCCCGCCCCTGGTAGAGGTACCCATCACTGCCGAAAACAAAACTGTGGAAGAACAGAAGATACATGTTACTGGGGAGTGGGAGATTGCAACAGAGAAGGTAAAGTGGATTTCTTTCTTTGATTTGGGATATAATGACATAAGAGGGAGTGTAATTTCATTTTTCCTTTGGGGGAAGAAAAGCACTTCTCAGACTATAATCCTACTGTGGAAGTATGTATAAATGTGTTCACAGAGACATTTAAAAATAATAAAAGAGGGTTTTCATAGGTTAGTACCTCAAATTATATAAATTGTAGAAAGTAGTCAGATACTATCTCTTATAAGAAGATACGGAAGTAAATTATATTTACAACAAATATCTTTCCTGGAAATGAAAGATCATCCTAGGACTGTTTCCCCAACATGGTTACCTCCAGATGTATTGGAGTGCAACTTTTATTATTCTCAGCCAATGGCCATGCTGGCTTGGAATGATGGGAGTTGCAGTCCTGAGCATCTGGAGAAAATCAAAGTGGGAAAGGCTGACCTAGAATTGAGACTGTTTTAAGGCAGTATACAATCCTAGGAAGGTTTAGACAGCAAAAAGTCCTACAACCCCCACCATGCTCCAGCAAGCATAGCTGAGCCATTTTTTTTTTCTGGTTAAACTTGGCAAGGCTTATGCCTTTGGTGCACCTAGAAAACAGAACTGGTAATTGGAAAGAACCCTGTGAGTAATATTTAAATAGGGTACCTGCAGACAAGGACTGGCAGGGGTTTTTTTGTTTGTGCAAGACAGGATGCAGTTCATATGTAAGGGTTCAACTTAGAGAGCTTTTAAAAAATACCAATAGTATTTCACACCTGCCAGGTTATGTAAACTTTATTGTTCCAATACATGTTGCCAGTGAGATTTTTTCTTTATGAATTTGTTAAATTTATAAGCATGTAAGGTGATACTGAGAGAAGAAAGTCATGAACTGTTCAATGAGCTTTAGATTTTGGAATAACAGTCAATGTTAGTGGAACTCTCAAGCAGATTAATGCAGAAACAGAACAAAGCAATGGATAAAAAAATTATAATGACACAGTTCAACCATCTCTCTTTGCATGTTACATCAAGGTACTGCTTACCTGTAACCAATGTCATCCCAGCCACGAACATCCTGGTGGAATCGCTGCATGGAGCGCATGTCAGCTGAGCATGCTGGGAAGGTTCGGCATGGCTTTGAAGGGGTGCTGGTATGGTGGATGTATACAAAGCCTAAGGGCAGTTGAAGTTGAGTTGGCGTTCCATTGTAGGGCCGGGCCCCCCACATGCATCGTGGGATGATTGCAGGACACTCTGTTGCAAGTTGCGGGGGGGGGGGGGGGGGGGGGCCAAGGGGAGTGTCAGAATGGCCATCAGCATCAAATGGTCATCCACTGCACAAGGATTCTCCCGGCACAGCTGTCACTTTTTCCCCTAGTTCTCTCCCTGTTTTCTCCATTGTTCTTCCCACATCTACACCTTCCTCATTTAATAACAACCATGCAACCTGCCCTGAACTTCTTGGCAGAGGGAATAGGAAAACAAACAGGTTTTTGAAGAAAAGTAGATGTGGCCAGTCCCCTATATGAATAGTGGAATGAAGGATACAGTGATTGATACTTGAGGATGGAATGGGGTGGAAGTTGAATGGAGGGCAGACAAGGAGAATTATTTAAAATCTCCATGGACTTTGACCAAAGCCACACACTGAGATAGAAATACAAATAAATAAATGTACATTACTTTCTGGGAAGTATCTATACCTCTCCTTATAGCCTTGAGAAAAGTTAGTTGTAAAAAAAGCAAAATTGTAACTATTCCTCAGCATGTCAAATCACGTACCTGATAAAGAGGTCTTTTGGGGAAAATTAAAACAAAAGCATGTTCCTAGTCCTAATGGTTTGATAATATCTAATGAAGCCTCAGAAACAAAAGGAAATATTGAGCAAGGTCTCCTATGGCCAGAGGGGTCCTTTGAAGCTCTGTGTGCTTCTCCATTCCTAGCTTCTCCTGCTCCTTTAATTGCTTGTCTTGTTTACAATTCTGACACAGATATGGTCCAAAGGTATGGCTACAGAACAAGTAACCTAAATTTAACCCAACAAAGAATTCAAATGTGGGTAGAACAAGGCCTTTTTTGAAAATCTGATGCACAATATTAACATTTTTTAAAATAGCAGTAGTGTATTCAATGCAGAGAATGACTATTGCTCATGCAGAGAGGTCCTGCCCTATATGAATTAGTAGGGAGGGAAAAGGCCCACGTCAGGTATCTTGTGAGCCTCCCATCCTCAGGCTGCATTATGTGCTGCACCAGATCCACCCCAAGTCAGTGCTAGAGAGGTGATGTCTGAAAGGGGATCTGTAAGCCCAGTAATGAGTGGGCTTAAGTATCAGTACAAGGCAGGAGCTTCATGAGGTCTGGCTAATAAAGGATCAGGCCCCCCAAAGCAAAGTAGTATCTAGTCCAGGACAGGAACAAGGACTGAGGTGAAGCAAGACCTGAAACAAGGTTTGGAGACAGGCAGCAAGCACCATGAAAGCTTTGCAGAGGTAGGCTGCTCAGTGCACGGAGATGGTCCTACTGCAGGAACACGCAGCTACCCACAGCTGTCTTTATGCGGCAAGATGTGTGTGTGTGTGTGTCGAGGGGAGTGGGTCAGGTGGAACAGAGAGTGGTTCTTGCTGTACCCTTCCTCTGCTAGAACATGCATTATCTTGCTCTGAACAGACCGGTGCAGCAGGTGGAAAGGAATGAAATAGCTCTGTGAAAGGACATAAAGCAAGTGCAGGAACCAGCCTGGTTCTGGGCCAGGGAACCTCTGCCAATGGGCCATATTCAGCATGTCAGGCCAGCCCTTGTGGCTCATGGAGACCCTGCGTAAGGCCCCCTTTCCCACCAAATTCCAATGTGCTGCAGTGGTTGCATTGCTGGCCTGGCTCTTGGGAGATCCATGTTCTAGTCCCCTCTTGATAACGTGGGGCCAGTCACAAGCTCTTCACCTAACCTACCTCACAGAGTTTTTGTGAAGATAAAATGGAGAGGAGCAGGACCATGGAAATCACTTTGGGTTTCTTGCAAGAGGAACAAAGGAAGAATCAAAATGTAATAATAAGAATAAACTTTGAATGAATGGCTATATCATTAGTGCCATGCTAGCTTAACTGCACTTTCATTTTTACCTGATGCCTGCCACAAATTGTCCCATTTCTAATTCAACGGTTGAGGACAAATCCTGAACTGCCTATTGGCAGTGGAACTACTCTTCCTCCTGCCTTGTCTTCTTCCCTCAGGATGCCCTGAATGTGCAGTGAGTCACCGAGCTTGCCCTGACTGATTAGCAGTGCCACAGCTGTCAGGCCAAACCAGGATCCCTGACCTTTTGAAAGCAGCAAGGCATCAAATGGTCCCACTGGCCAACTTGGTTTCCCAACCAACACAAGACATACCTACGTACAATGCCGTGAACTCTTCTGCAGCCTGGTTCGCAAGGACAGTCAGCTCCTCGTTCGTGATGCCCTCAAAGAGAGTGTGGGTTTCATTCAGCCTCCTGAGCAGGTGCAGAGAATTCTCCACCTGCTTGCTTAGCTCCTCCTTGCTCACCAGCACAGCAAAGCTCTGCCTCCGGAAGTTGCTGCGGAGCTGCTTGCCCCCCACCAGGTCCTCCCCGCTATAGTAGGTGTTCAGCAGGGCACTGATGTTGGGGGGTGGCTGAGCATGCTCTGCCAAATGTGTGCCCAGGATGAGGCCATCCATTGCCCCATTGATGAAGGCATCAGTGACAGGGGAGGGAGGACCCATCAAGGTAAATGTGTGGGGGGGCAGAGAGGTGATCCCAGCAGCCATTTGGCCCGAGAGCCACTGGGCTCTGCTTCTTGTAGAAGAGGAGAAAGGCCATGGCAAGGTTCACGGCAATTGTTGAGCCGGAAAGGTGGTCCAGAAGGAGGTGAGGTTCTACTTCAGAGCTGGCTGAGGGGTCAGTGCGTAGAGCTGTGGCAGGGTGAGCCACCTCTCGCCTCCTCCTCAATCCAGCAGCCACCCCAGCAAGAAGAGGAGCAAGCACAACTGTGGTCCCATCAGCGGTTAGGACCACCCCGTGTTCTATCAGAGAGTCATTGCTGACAGGCTGATTCACCAAGGACTTGAGGAAGGCTCTCTGTGCTTCACTCAAGCAGGCCAGATCAGAGGGGGCTGGAGCCATTGGGCCAAGGAAGAACTGGCACATCTCACTTGTGCAGGCCTCCAGCTCCTGGAGAAGCACGGCCACACTCACTGCTGGCGTCCCTTTCAGACAGCTCTCCAGGTCTTCTAGAATTCTCATCACAGCATCCATATGGAATGTCACCTCAGCTGCAAAGGGCAGGATTGAAAAAGCACATTTGAGGTTGGCAAGCAGCGGCCAGTTGTGCGACGGAGCTGACAAAGCATGGCCTCTATTCGGAGTGCGCAGGTGGCAGGCTCTTGGCCCCAGCACACGAGGAACTGTGTTCTTTGTGCCTCCTCTCCTGCCTGACATGATATCCAGCTGTATTCTTGTGCTATCACTGAAAGCTGGAGCTCAAAAAATGTGGACTACAATGCAGAAAGAATGATATTATGCCCTTGTAAGATCTACCCGTTGTTGGAGTGGCCTGTGCGCAGTAGGGATTCCTGATGAAGTACACCCGCAAAGAACAGGGCTCGAGCCTAAGCAGCAACGTGCTATTCCTGCTGTCTCACTTTTGTAAATAAAATAGTAACTTATTGAAAACAAACATTTCTGCCCAAAAGTCACTTTTCCAAAAGGAAAGCTTTTCCTTTTCCAAACGTAAAAGCTGGCTTTCTCAGGTGGCTGGTTACGGCAATATAAAATCAATCTGCATGTAAAACTTTACTAAGATGCAAACATATTCAGGTTTGGAAGAAACCATAAGTTAACATTTCTTGAAAATTATGATTATATTTTCAATTTCTATACAAATGGAGGTGGAGCATGTGTTTCAGGACAGTTTTTCCACATATTTATTTATTGTGTGATCCGTAGGCAAATCACATTACTTCATTTAAAACTTCTGTGGTTCAACTGACATTAGTAGGAGCAAGGTTACAATCATATACAAAGTCACTTATCTGTGAATAAGTCCCATTGAACTCAATGGAACTTACTTTTGAGTAGCCATCTATAGGATTATACTGTAAGTCTGGCTTAAGTTGGTCATGAATTAGGCTGCCTTCAGCAACCAAGGCTGGACTTTCCCAAGCACATCACAGTTAAGGAAAATAACCCAACAGCAACGTCCACCCAATTATTTCAGGGTGCAATTCCTGATCTAGTAAGTCTTAGCAACAGTGTTATTCTCTGAAGGCATCTACAGGAGTCTTCCGCTCAGCTGGCCTCATCTTCTGATGGCTGCAGTCTGGAATGAAATCATGGGCCAGTAGCATCCTTCTAATACAAACAGCAAGGCTGTTTCTCCCGCCTGTACAATACCACCTTTTTCTGCAATGTGGTATTCTGTCCAAAGGGCAAACTTCCTTCAGGAACATTTGAGGAGGATACTTGGTCCTGTCCTGAGCTTGAGGAGCATGTTGTGAAGTAGCCTTCTGCAGCCTAGTTCTCTCCAGATGCTTTGGACTTCAGTGCCCATTAGTCCCAGCCAGCTTGGCCACGGATGATGGGGACTGTAGTCCAACACATCTGAAGGGCACCAGTGTATGTGAAGCTCATCAGCTGCAGGCACTGTGCAGGTTGAATCAACCAGTACATCTAACCAGGAAGATTGGAGCCAATGAACCAAAGCCCCTAAATCTCACCTCCAACCCTCTCTCAAGACAGGCATCTGAACTTGAGTCACCAAAGGCAACTGGACTTGTGGATTGAGTCTTACCTGTGTCGGCCACTGACAAATGCAAAAGTACAGGCACAAACCCCAGCCACACCAGGAACATCTTGCCAGAAGTTTGAAGAACAGCCTTTGATAGTGGAGCCAGCTGGCACCTGCATGCAATGAGGGAGAGGGCGGGGGGGAGGCAGTTGGAGAAGAAGCACGGGCCAATGACAGGGCTCGACTGCTCTCTGTGGCATGGAAGCCAGCAGGAACGGGCAGCCTGCTTGCAGCATGTCCTGCTGGATGGGGAAACCCAAGCAGAGAGCTTCCTGCTAAGCAAGCAGAACAGAAGCTTTTCACCTCCACTTCACCTAGGCGGCAGCAGCAGCAAACAGAAAACTACTTTCCGGAGTCTTGGGGTGCATGCTAAATTTTATTGCATCCTGTCTCAGCCTTTCTTGCCAGGTTTTCGTGGTGTTTAAACTGCATCCTGGGAGAGCTGAAAACCTGCTCTGCCAGACACACCACCGGTTCCTCTGCAACTCATGTATGAATAGCTAGAATGGTGCCCAGGAACTTGCATGTGCCCAGAGCATTCTTGGAACTGTCTTGAAACCTTTGTGCAGTGCATGTGTTAGTGAAGGAACAGGTCCCTTGCACATGGGTTTTCTGCTGAACTTAGCCTTCCTCCCAGGTGTCACTGTGGCTGGGCATCCCTTTATCAGTTATGGCTGATACGTCAGCTGTGTCCCTTCTCATTTAGAAGAGATGTTGCCATAATCACATGTACCCTGAGGTTTTCCAGATATGATTGCTGTAACCTTTGCCATGTGTGGCTGTCCTTGAGTGCTGCCTTGCTACTAGAGTACAGCTGCCAGGTGCATATATTTTCACAGCCCCAACATTTTCAGCATGAGTAACAATCTTCCATTTGGGCTCTGTTAGTCACTTACCCCATGGGCATAATACAAGGATTTTTCTCAGAAATGGCATTTTGCTTTTTCAGTTCTCTCTTAGTTTGTCATTCCTTTCCTTATGTTTTCCATTTTTGTAGCTCCTATATTTATATTTGACTGACTATTACTGGTTCATGTTAAAAAGGGGGAAGTGGAGTCAAATCCAGAATGCAACTACAATTCCGAAATTGCACTTGCTTCTGCTTGTTTTCCATTGTCCCAGTTCAAGCATGTGTTTTTAAAATTTCTGCAACCCAAAAGGTCTGGGAGGACCCTTGAAGCCTTTCTCCTGTGTGCCCCCCCCCCGGCTCCCACCCTGCCAGATATAAGCCACCACAGGCATTACTTTCTCTTGCACCCCCTCCTCTCATGTGTGGCTGGGGTGTAGCAGGTGGCTCTAGATGATCATGCCTTCTTCTGATTATCTTAGTGCATCCTTACACATGTTTCCATGACTCGTCAAGGCTGTTTTATTCCGTAGGGTGTTCCAGATAAACCGAGTCTGGCTGATTTATTTAGCTTACTTATGTAACAGCATAGGTGTTCTTGTTTGCTATTTGTTTTTCTTGTTTGTTATTGTTCAGTGTCTAATTTGGTTTCTTTTTTTAAATTCTTGGATATTGCTTTAGTGAAAACATGGCACAGGGTTGTACTAAATAATAACTAGGCACTGATATAGCCCTTGGGAAATAAAGTAATTTGGCAGCAAAACCAGCTCCACAACCTCCACAACCTGTTGCTCTCCAAATATTTTTGATTTTAACTCCCATCAGTGCCAGCTTGCATGGCCTATGGGCAGGTATTCTAAGAGATGTTCAAAACATCTGGAGGGCACTAGGTTGGGAAAGGCTGGTATAATTCTTCAGAACTGCAGGGAATATTTCCTATTATTTTGATGTAAAAGGAGCAAGTGAGCCTTCACACTGAATAAAACAAAGCCTTACCAGCTCCCCTGCTTTATTACATTGATTGGACTAATACAACATGATAACCACACTCAAGAAGTGAGTATAGGTTGAGTGTGAGGTGTTTTTGAAACAAGGGTTAGCATGGTTTTGAACCAGCCATGCTAAGAAGCCATGGGTTGTTAACCATGAACAATCCATGAAGAGAACCCATGGTTTCTTGCTGTGAACTGTGGGTTGTTAACCATGTTTTGTTATCTTAACAGGTTCAGACAACGTGATAGTCCATGTTTCAGCAACAAGCCAGGGTTCAGTGACAACCCACACTCAACATATATTCAGACCTTGATTGTGGGATGTCCTATTAACAGAATCCAGTCACTGCATAGTTCCCAGAATAAGACCTAGTGACATGCCCCTCCCACTGTCCGCGGGAATAATTAATTACTGTAGTTGTAGAAACTCATTTCTTGAGATAAGATGGTCATAATTTTAAAACTGACCTATAGGAGTGGGCAACTTCCTAGGACATGGGGATCAATTTTGCCCCCCCAAAAAAAACCTCACTGGGAGCTGCTCCCCTGTACTCTGCCCTATCACCAAACTTGTGCAGAACCAAGGAAAAAATGGCAGTTTGTCACCTAGATAATGTAGCAAGCAGCAGCAGTGGCAAAAAGTTATTTGGTTTGATTTGAAAGCTAAGCATACCCTGTTTGCTGCCTGTATTTCTTTGCTGCATTTCAGCAGCAAAGTGCAAAGTTGGTTTGGTTTGGTTCGGTTCGGTTCTGTCTGCCACCACAAATTTGGCAATGGAAAGGAGGTACACAGAAGGGTATGGGGAATAACACATTCTGACACAACACATTCTTACATAAAGCTGAACAGATATGAGGTGGGATCCTATTGAAGTCTCTGTAATGATGTTAGAACAAGGGAAATACATTTAGGGGATTCCCTAAACTAGGCATGTATTGTATGCTTTTGATCCCTCACTCTTGGAATCATGCAGGCCCTTTCACAACAACGTAATCCTGCAGAGCCTTTCTTGTGTTTTCCATTCTTTTTAGCAGATTTTTAGAGTGAGGAAAGTCTAGTATTACATTTTAAACCAAAACATTCCAGAACAGAAACTTCCTGAAAAGTTGCAATTCCTCTATACAGCAGCTGTACCACAGCATCACCTTGTGTTTGATTAATTGAAAAGATAGCAAGGCAGAGAAATACTGGGCAGAAGTAGACTGACCTGGTGAAAAAGCCTGTATAAAGGACACATTTTTCCACTCACAGTGAAAAAAGAAGTAATCTCAGGAAAGCAGTTGGTTAAACTCTGTACAGAAGCCCTCTGTGGGTGCTATAGATTTTTTTTTTTTCAAAACGGTGTATATTATACAAATAGAGCATTCAATAACTCTGTATGAGGCTTTGCCATTTGTTCAAATTTGCAGCCCAGTGAAACAAACTTGATGCAAATATATGGAAGACATTTTGTGGCGTGCCGATCCTGTTTCTGGAGATAGGCTTTTTCACACTCCTCTCTGTAAATATTAAACTAAACTGGGGTGGGGGATATTACTAGGCCAGAGTTGGAAGGAATTTGGAAGAGCATCTAGTGCAAAGGTGAGAATTTGTGTAGACGTAAACCACATTATGTTGTTTGACAGAGAAAGATTCCTTACCTGCCATGAGCATTCTGTTCTTTCCACCAGGAAGCCCTCCAAGCCAAAATATTAATTTATAGCTAACTTGAGCCTATTTCCCTCCTTCCCTTAGTGGAGACTCTCATTTCACCAGCCTGTACTTTTCCCAGAATATCTCATAAGGTCTAGCAACTTTGCCATTTGAAAAATTTGTAAGCTGGACCCTGCTGCTCTGTAGTGTGATTGCAAAAGTAATCTAAAAGTACTCAATTTAGTAATTTAGTAACTTTGTTATCAGTTGTTGTGGACTTTCCCCCTTCCCAATGAAGGATGTGTTTGCTTGTTCTGCCTGCTTGAATTTTCTGTGGTGAATTGGAGGAAGAATGATTTATGCTGGGGTCTGATTCAAACAGTCTTTGGGCATGTAGCATCTCCTTGAAAAGCATCTCCTGCTTTTCCTGCAGTCCTATAGGAAAAGGAGAGGAGGGATTCGAACAGAAGCAAGGAGATCACAGCTAGAGTCCCTTTGTACAGAAAGACCAGGGGCCAGGTGAGTGCATTGGCCAGCTGGCACCCAGCAGGGTCAGAGAATCAATAGTTCTCTGACGGGAGAGAGTTTGAGGTATCACTTTATTGGCTGACTCTCTTTATGCATCCCTACCAACCAAGCCTATAAGAATTGTTAACTTGAGACCCTGGATGATGTCCTGACAGATCAGATACTAAGGATATCTCAGGGGATGGACATAGTAATTATGGGAGATTGCAATCTCCCAGATATTGGTTGGGAGACTCACTTAGTGGTGACAGCCAGGTCACATTGCTTCCTAGACACTATAGAGGGAGGGTTTTTCATGCAGAGGGTCTGAGAGGCAATGCGGGGAGGGAACATCCTTGACTTGGTCTTGACCAACAGGGAGGAGCTGATAGATGAGGTACAGATTAGGGGAGCTCTGGGTGTGAGTGATCACTCCATCCTTTGCTTTCAGATCAGGGGAATGGGGACAGGTCGAGTACTAGAAGCTGGGACTTCAAGAGGGCCAACTGAAGGCTACACTGGGGAAAGTCTCCTGGACTAGGTTACTGAAAGGCAAGCAAGTTGTGGAGGGGTGGATGGCACTCAAAAGGGAGGATTTGGAGATGCAAGCCTTGATGATACCTCTAGTTAGTAAGGCCAGGAGGCAAAGGAGAGCACCTCCATGGATGCAAAAGGAGGTGGTTAGAAGGATTAGATGCAAGAGGAACCTCCACAGGAAATGGGTAATGGGGCAAATAGACAAAAGGGTATACTGGGAGGAGGAGGCCCGTTGCAGAAGGATTCTTCACAAGGCTAAGGCTGATTACGAGCTGAGACTTGCAAAGAATATCAAGAGCAACAAAAAGGGCTTCTATCAGCGTGTAAATAGCAAGAGGAAGGGGAGACAGGTAGTGGGACCACTAAATAAGGAGGAAGAGCATTCAGTGACTGATGCAAGGGAACAGGCACAGATGCTAAATGGCTATTTTGCCTCTGTGTTCTCCCCAAAGCAGGACTGAGGAGATCCACATGGGAGATTAGATGATCCCGGGGACTTAGTGGCACAGATTAGAGTCACCCCACTAGAAGTGGAGGGGCTCCTCAGGGCACTGGACAT